AAAGATCTTTACACTAGCATTTAGCGTAGTGCACTCGGGTATTTCCCACAGTCAAGTCCGCTGATATGATCCAAGAAGCCATTATAGTAGATATTGGCTGGTACCGGGTAGCTTCATTCACAAACCGGGTAGCTTCATTCACAAACCGAACAGCGATCGATAGGAGGAAGATCAAAACTCCAGGCATCCACAGTGGATCCAATTCTTCCAACCAATATGCCTCGAATCCTCTAACTGCCACAACTACATCAGTCGTGAGATCAAGCATCTCAGGCGTCACCATCTTTGAGGTGCCTTCGTCCACAAATTCCCAACTTTCCGGGCGCAGCCCGGAAAGTTGGCGGGGAGCCTGGAGAAAAGGAGGAGAGTTGGGAGAATTGGGAGAGTTCATCTTAGACGTTACGATGTGCATTACTGCTCTGTCTACATGTTAGCTCTCCAGGAGTTTTCCACTTGCTTTGGCTGTGTCCCCTGAAACGTGATAGTTATCTTTCCAAGTTCTCCAGCTAACTTTTATAGCAAGTTGGCTGAAGCAAGGTGTGGTTTTGGGAAAAGAGCCCTCTTTTTGGGTGTTTACGAGCTATTTGAACAGGGCTCGAGGTCCACCGGAGAAGAGCCAGACAGCTCCTTTGGAAGCTGCCTCCCACCTCCCACACTCATGTACTGCTACCAGAATCTGATACATTACACCAACACGATGGCATGAAGGTGGCTGGTGCACATCAGTTGCACAATGGTGGCTTGTGCACATCAGTTGCACGTCCGACGGGGCTACAGTGTTTCTGTCCGACGGGGCTGCGGTGTTTCTGTTGTTGACCGAGTGTTGGATTTTTCTTGCTTTGGCTGGAGAAGCGGAGCCCTGCCCGTCAATCATATGGTACCCGTCAATCATATGGTATCTGTTCAAAGCGACGTTGACTATCAAGCTGGCACCCCCTCATACGGTCCCAAAGCTCAGGCAACACTCACTGCCTCATTGAATTCCTATTGCAAACAGGAGAAAAATCCAAGCTTAGCCAACAAAATCGATTCGAACGAGATAAGCCTATTATCAAGAGTGTTATTGAAGGTGTAGATTCGAAAGCTGAAGGTGTAGATTCGAAAGCCATCCGTCATTGAATTGTATGGACCTGAAGGTGTAGATTCGAAAGCCATCCGTCATTGAATTGTATGGACCGCGGGAAGGCAGTCAGATCTCGGCCATCAACAGGTAACTTGTTCTTTAATTCTTCGAGTTGATTGATTGCACCTCTGTTATCTAAGCCTCACTCAAGCCGACCATTTCCGGTGCAGATTGGAAAACCATCCCTCGTGGAATTGGAAAACCATCCCTCGTGGAATTCTATGGACCATGGGATGGCAGCCACTTCTTGGCCACGGACGGTCAAGTTGGTGGATGTGAAAAACAATGGTAAGTCGCGGGTTTTCTTCAGTTGAGTACAGGAAACAAAATTCATATCTATTTGTTGTTTTCTCTGCTGCACTGCCGACAGCCGATGAAATATCGTTGTCGCGTCACAAAAGGAGAGGCTGCTGTCGATTGATCGGCTGCTGTCGATTAATCGCTGATTGATCGGCTGCTGTCGATTGATCGCTACGGAGTACGGAGGAGACTGTTAACTCAAGCCCCATCACCAGCTTGACAATCAACCATACAATCAACCATGACAGGAGGCTACATGACAACTCGTAAGCACAGAGGTTAGTGGGTCCTCCCATTGGATTCATCCCTCCATATTAGTTCCTAGTGTTTTGGTGGTGATTCCTGTGTCGGTACCCATTTTCCATGTCATTGAATGGCAACAATCGACAAGAATTTTGAGAAACTGACCGTACCATCTAGCCGATGATGTGGATGCGACAAATTTCATGTACTCTCCTAAACAACTCAGTCATCGCCGCTTTGGTTGCCGACAACACTTTCAAATGGCCCAGATTCGTCCAAACTGCAACAACAAGGACAAAAATTTTCTCTCCGGCAATGTCACTCCTTCACTGAACACGCTCCAGCCCTATCAACAGTCTGAACAGAGGAGCCTATCGTCGATGACTTATTACGACAACAGTCTTCAACGGACTTATTACGACAACAGTCTTCAACGGACTTATTACGACAACAGTCTTCAACGGACCGAGGGAGGGGACAACACACAAGAGAGAGTGGATTCTGATGTTGGATTCATGTCTCCAGTATTATTTCCTTGTGTTTTGGTAGTGATTCCTGTCTCAATATTCATTCCCTGTACTGGTATGTACAAGTGGGTTGTCGAGAATTTGAAATTGAAAAACAAGGGTAACACGACCATCGGATGCATGTATCCCTCGTGTCTGTTCGGTGATTCCTGTACTCATTTTCCTTCCTGTACCCATTTTCCTTTATCTGTTCGGTGATTCATGTACCCATTTTCCTTTATCCGCAAGTCCCTCCGTACCCATTTTCCTTTATCCGCAAGTCCCTCGACGTACCATACCATTTTCCTTTATCCTTCCGTACCATTTTCCTTTATCCTTCCTTTCTCCGCAAGTCCCTTGACGTATGGTACATTAGTTTAATAACAAAATAGACCATACCAATTTCATTAGATAGAGAACTTATCTTCGATGTACATAGTTACTTGATGATTGTCAGGGTAGGGTCTAGCTAGCTTTTAGATGTTGTTGCTTGGAGAGCTTTCGTGAGCTACCGGTACCAATGGCATTGCAAGCCAGGGCTGGGGATAATGAGTTCTGGGAGCCCCCCAAGTGCTGCCAGCCGAATGGCAAGTTCCATTCGGCTGGCTCTCTCAACTTTCCAGAGCCTACGGCGCGATCCTACGTGAATTCCACGTGAATTCCCAGTAGCCACGTGAATTCCCAGTAGCCCTGGAAAGTTGGCCGCCCATACTCAAAATAATCCACCCGCCAAACCCTCGTAGCTCTAGTACACTTTCTACTGTAGCAGGTTCTCAACGGTCGAAATCCCCGTGTTATTTAACTCGATAGGCCAATTCGGATTTCGAACTCTTACACATACGATTCGAATTACTGGTAACGGCCTGATGTCAAGATCAATCGTATTTTCTACTAAAGCCTCTATAGTAAATATTTACATGCGTCACTCATTTTCGAAAATCCATTGAATCGTGAGGCCGTTACTCAGAAATCCAGTTGCCGGGATAATTTACCGTAGAAAAACAGTGCATTCCCAACTCACCGATTCTGAGATTTGTATAAGGGATGTCTCATCGGACGTTACGTGGATTCTGACTGGATTTTGACTGGATTTCAGCGACCATGTGTGTTGTTGTACGATTGAATCGAACTAAACCGTATCTTTTATAAACAAATCGATTTTTCCACATTCTGAGACAAAACCTATGGTTATTTCTTGTACGAGAGGATGGAAAAATGTAATTGTTTCTACGTAAAGGTTCTTATCAAACGGAAGCTTAAGAGAAGGGTAACAGTCGGAACGAATCATTCCGAATCGACGCACGAAACAAAGGTGTCAGTTGGAGTGGCTACTCGGTGTTACCTCTGAATTCATTTTCACTCCGATATTGCCATAAATTCAACCAACGAAAACCAAAAAGGAAACTATGCCCTTTTTCTTCGCTATATTCGAAACTTCATACAATGGCCCCACAATAAACCCCACCATTCACCATGGCGTTCATCCAAGATGGGGACCGTTCGGTCCTTCTGATTGGCGGAAAGAAGTTCCTTGGCTCTCGAACCATACTGGCTGTTGCGAAGCTGTTGTTGCTGATCTGTGGAGCGGGCTGCATCTGTGGATACACAAATGTTGTTGCATCATCAAACCTTGCATCATGGCGGCTTGCTGCTGCATCGCAGCCATTTGACTCCATCCCATCGGCATTGGAATCGAATACTGAGGCTGTTGCGGCATTGGCACGGGCACCAATGGAGCTACCGCTGCTGCCTGATTGAACATTTGATTTGCTGCAACCGGAGCCATCGCACTTGGAGCCATCGCACCTGGAGCTGTTGCGACCGATTGATGCGATCCTGCCACAGAAACCATGGCGCCACCTGTTCCAGCAGGGGCAGATGCAACACTTGCCGTCGATGAAGTCATTCCATGTGTTGCCACCGCCTGCGCCTGAGCCTGGACAAGCTCCAGCAATTGCTTCTTCGTCATCTTCTTCAACACCTTGTCATCGGGAAGGACGGATGGATCTTCGGTCAACAAGGACGTCTCTTCTTCGTCTTCAGAGGGTGGAGTCAAGATCTCCTCCGGCACTGACTTCTGCTTGGCAGACGCATTCTTCTTGGACTTGCTCGACTTCTTCCAAGTTGCATCTTTTCTTTTTGCGCTTGGCGCTTGGAGGCTCGCTTGGCCCGGGGCTTACCGCCACCGTCGTCGGATTCTTCGTCTGAAGTTCGTCTGGGAGGACGTTTATTTCCGTCTTCATCATCAGATTCCACGGCCAAGTCCTTATCAGAGCACATCAACGCCTTGAGAGCAGTCGATCGACCTTCGTCTACGAGACGTGCATAAGGGATCTGACTCTGTTCGCACTTGTGACGGGCGAATTTCAATCGAGCAGCCATCGGAACCCGAGCTTGATGCATCTTGGTGATTCCATAGGCACGAAGACCATGATTCGTGAACTTCTCAAGATTCGTGACTCCAATGGTGGTTCCGAGTTCCTTGGCCATCTTGGATACGGTATTGTGGCCAAGATTGTATTGAGCGGTATCACCTGAGGGTTGGAACCAAATGTCACGATCCTACGTGAATTCCACGTGAATTCCCAGTAGCCACGTGAATTCCCAGTAGCCCTGGAAAGTTGGCCGCCCATACTCAAAAAAATCCTTCAACAAGAGGTTTTTCAGACGTGGATACGTTCCAGAAACTTGGAGGCATTTTAGTCCAACTAGTCAAATCATGGGACTGATTTTCGTGATTGAAGACCGCCCTTCCCGTCTTCCCGTCTCGCACTCTCTCCTTCAAAACAGCTTTCACAACATTCACTGTTTCATCAACAAAGTGCACCATGGGAGGCAAGCGCATGTCCAAAGAAGAGAAGCGCCAAGCTATGCTTGGCATCTACCACAAGTCTAAGCAAGTGTACACCGAGAACGAAATTCTCAAGTTGGCGTCCAAAGAAGGGATCACTGGTAATGAGGGAGTGTAAGTGGAGGAGAGCGTGTCGGTGTCAAATTTGCCTCGTCGTCATTGGCCTCCGCTTTTGCTCACTCCTTGTTGTTTTTGTCTCTTGTTGCGTCTTTCGTTTGTCATTTCAGCATCAAGGACATTCACAACAGTCTCATTGACGATAATCTTGTCGAAAAGTCGAAAATAGGACAGCAAAACTTTTTCTGGAGTTTTCCCGCCAAAAAACAGCGCATGGCGGAGATCCAACTCAAAAAGACGGAAGAGAACATTGAAGTCCTCAAAGTCAAGGTGGAAGAAGCCAAAGCTCGTTTGACCGATGCCAAGCGTGGCCGCGAGGACGATGATGGAGAACGCTCTAAAAAGTTGGCCCGATTGACTGAGATTGGCAAGGAGCGTCAGGCCTTGGAAACCGAATTGGCAGCCCTCAAAGAGAGTGATCCCCAGGCGATTGCGGACTTGGAAAAGGAGCTGAATTATGTCACTCAGGCTGCAAATCGATGGACGGATAACATCTATGAAGCTCACAGCTTTCTCGTCAAGAAGAAAGGAATGGAAAAGAAACAAGCCAATCGGATGTTGGGAATCACTGATGCGTTTGATTGTAAGTTTTCATTTGTTTCATGGGCTGCTATTATATTTTTTTTGTCATGGCTGATGATACATGCTTTCTTGCCTTTCCAGATCCCGAGGACAAGATTCCCAAATAGGCACTGGGTCAAAGACCGCGACGGAAACGCACACTGGCTGCGTCGCTCCAAAGCATTCGCATAACGGTTGCACAGTTCACGGGAGAGGGTCTATTCTCAGTGGAGATTTCTCTATCAGTTTACTGGTGAACTTATTATTCGACAATCTGCGAAGAAAGTATCTGCGAAGAAAGTTTCGCCGCCATCTGCGGAAGTAGTTTTCTTTGAACTAATTTTGAAATCGCAACAGATATCAGAAGAAGTTGTCTTGCTAGTAGCACTTACTGGCAGTGCCTTATGGTCGTCTAGTACTGGCAGTAATCTACCCGTAGCCGTGCTGCAGCAGCAAAGCCTGGACTTGTTCCCGCATGATGTCGAACATTTTCCAGCAAAAGTGCCGTGGCTGTCAGCAGAGCGGACCAAACTTGGATGCACATCCCAATCATACTACAGAACCAGAGGGGGTGTCGTCGATTGGTGGGATTCTTTGTGATCGCCACCACCGTACATATCCAGGAGGTACAGTGTTGCAGTTTGTGACAGCGAAGCAAGGCACCAATACTACCGTACCGGTACTGTTACAAGCAACACTGCACCGACCGCAGTTGATTGTTTTCACCGCACTGTTCAATGGGCGGCACTGTTGCTGCTCGTATTGGTTTGCTTCGTTTCTGGTCGGACTTGTCGTCGTTGGGATAAAGGTGGTGCCTCTTTGGCAATCATGATCTGGTGATAGATGGACACAAGAGACCGGTCGGGATCTGCCTTTCTCCACGCCTTGAACTTGAGGCGTGTGTAGACAAAGAAGTTAAAAAAACCTGACAAGTTGCGGTGGTGGTGGTGGTGGTGGTGGTGGTGAGGACAAGGTAATTTGACGAGAACGCAATATCCTTGATAGGCATCAAGCACGTACCCTGCAATGGATACAGCATCCAGTACAAGACCTGCACGATATAGAATCCTGCTTTCGTTTTCTTGTCCTGCATTTCCTCATGGGACAGACCGAACCCGGCGACCAATCCAAAAAATGGCCAGAAGAACGTATTCAGATAGACCTGAATCGAATCAACAGAACAGATGCAATGCATGAGAGAACGAAGAAAGATTTCCGAGACCAGTTGTTTGGGCCTTCTGTCTATTGAATGACATACCAAAGAATAGAGGATTGCTTGTGTAGACACCTCCTTCAGGCGCTCGTCAGTACGTGAGCTGTTGTCGCTGCTGCCAGCAAAGCGATAAGAATCGCTCTTCTTGAGCGTGGCACGGACCGTCCACCAAACCGTGAAAGTAAAGATGAAGCTGATTGTTGTCAAGACCATTGTGAAAGTCGCCCGAGAGATGGTAACGGCAGTGACAAGCTCTGGTGACGACCGCTCACATGGTATGTCGTCGTTGTGGAAGCATTCCCACGGCCAGGTGGTGTACGAGCAGAGATTGTTAGCCAACGGAGAGGGATTCATGGAACCAGTAGTTGCGGCGATCAAACTAATGGCCAGAGGAACCAAGAGGGCCAATGCATGGCCCGCAATTTCAAACGGTTTTCGAAAGTCGTATTCTTTCCAGTTTTTCCGGACAGTGGCAAGATAGTATCCACTCAAATAAAAGTTGTAGCAACATGCCATCATGACTCCCAAACTGAGAAAGAACCCCGCCGCGGAGCAAGAGGCGACGTTTCCCACGGCACCGAGAAGTCCCATGAAGGAGGGCACCATGTAGGGCATGAACAAGGCCGCCAATGAGGCCATAATATCGGAAATACTCAACAAGAACACGAGCCTGTGCATAATCTTATGAAGCTTCTTGGACGACATGTATATGACACAGGTTGATCCAAAGATGGATAAGAGACTTGAGATCGAGCCCAGAACAATCAGGGGAATGTACCGCTCAGTTTCCAGGACACCAAAGTCCTGCCCGACAGTAGAAGATGCCATGGTGTTTGCTTGCTTTGTTCTGTGTATCTCCAACCAACCCGAGTCGAGTCGTCTTCGATTCTCTGAAGCTTTGGCCCACAGCTGGAGCTGGTACGGCACTCTACCGTAGCGAAAAATTTACTACTCTAAAACCCAACAGCTGACCGTGTAAGGAGTGACAGTCGAGTCTCAATGGAAGCTTCGTCCCTTCCACCTCAAAGAGAAGCTCTTCGTGCTGGTTGCTGTGACGATGAGATCCCGAACCAACGCCGTTGGAGTTTCAAAGTTACTGGATGTCCCTCCCACCTCTTTCCTGCTACAGTGTACTAAGTGGGGCCGAGAATAAGGTCCCGAGGTGTAAGGAAAGCCGTTGTGGTTGTGGGATCGCCAAAATTTTGTTTGGGAACACAGGCGTTCCCAAAGAAATGATCTGGAAGGACATGCTTCTTTTTAACAGCTCTCCTGCTTTAACTTACGCAGCTCTACGGCTTTAATAAAAAAATAAGATCCAAGTTCTTTCGTCGTCTCGCTTTAGCGAGCGCCGACAAGCGGCGCTCGCCTAGAGCAGCACAGCACGACTAGTTGAGTAGAGTAGTAGGATAGGGTGGTGGAGAGACTCGGCCATTTACTGAGCCGACCGTCTCCGCAACCCAGGGGTGCCGCTCGTGATTGCTAGAATCCCGAGCGGGAACCAAGGCACGAATGAGGCAGTCCCGCGGGATGTGAGTCTCGCGTGATTGTGCGACATTCGGCCAACCCAGGGAGGGAGAGGTGGGTTAATCTATTCTAGTTCTAGCTTGCAGCTCGGCTGAAGGAAGAATTGTGAGCAGAGAAGGAGACAACCTTCTTGCGATCGACTGTTCAATGGCTGAAGGAGAGAGTTGGACCGGTCTTGCGTGTTGTGTTCATTCAAGGTTGCTATCTGTGAGCGGTCTTCGTGGGGTGCTATTGCCTTAGAGTGGATCTTGCGAAAAGGCAGTGGCAATCGACATGTATGTGGGGTATCCATTTCAGGAACGCAGGTGATGACCTGTGGAGTGTAGAGATGTACTTGTTGTGTGTGAGCGAAGTGTGGGAGTAGATTCGTATTTTGTGAGATGGTACCAGTCTGGCAACTGTGAGTCGAGTCATTCATCGAAGAACCCATGAGGGTTCAGGTTTCCACGCCGGTCAGCGTGGATGGATAGGGATCGGGATCGTTTGTCTTCTTTGGCGTGCGGCTGCTCGACAACGAGCGCCGACAAGCGGCGCTCGCCTAGAGCAGCACAGCACGACTAGTTGAGTAGAGTAGTAGGATAGGGTGGTGGAGAGCTCGGCCATTTACTGAGCCGACCGTCTCCGCACCCAGGGGTGCCGCTCGTGATTGCTAGAATCCCGAGCGGGACAAGGCACGAATGAGGAGTCCCGGGATGTGAGTCCGCGTGATTGTGCGACATTCGGCCAACCCAAATAGCCAAAGGCAGAACAGGGTGGGAGCGTAGCGGGGTGGGAAAAATTGGAGAGACCGAGAGGAGGCAAGGTCTCTCTGGAGATTTGGACTAAGGGAGGTTAGTCCTCGTAGAGTTCCGCGTGAAGGAGGATCTCTGCGATAGTAGCAGGCGCCTGAGCAGGCGGGAGGAACTTGTCGTAGGTTCCCGCCTGGAAGGTGTAGGCACCGTGGGCCAGCATTTTCTGGGAGTAGTGATGCGTGATGGTGGCGGCCTGGATTCGTAGGTAGCGCAACATGGCGTCTGACTTCCATCGACCGAGGAGGCGGATGGCATCAGAGTCCACATGGGCGCAGAGGAGAGCAGTGGCGCCGCCCGGACGGAGGGAGCGAGCGGACACTTTCATGTGGGAGATTCCGGTGGTCCGTTCGAGCCGCTTTGCGGCAGCACGAAGGGCATCGGTGATGAACTTGGGCTTGACGTTGTACCATTTCTTACGGACGGAGTTGTAGTGTTTGTAGAGTGGAGTGGAGGCGCGGTCCTCCAATGGAGTGTTGAGCGTGATGTGTGCGGTGCGGATGTGACGGACGAGACGGGCGAGGGATTTGACAGGACAGAGCCAGGGGTCAGCGGTAGCCCGGTGACCCACCGACTCGCCTTTGACGGCGTTCTTTTGGTCAGTGAATGTCAGCGAAGCCGCGGTGAGGCGACTGGGGTCAGACACGTCATTCAAAGAGATCTTGTCAGCGGTGACTTGGAAGCGACCGGCGATGGTGAAGGTGATGTCCTCAAGGAGAAAGGCCTGGCTTCGGGCCTCAGGGTTACTGGTGTCGAGGTATTCAGCAGGGCGGAGGAGCCAGAAGAAGGCGCAGATGCAGAGGTCCCGAGTGTGTTGGTTGACTGTTCCACGAACGGGGTCAACGTAGTCGAGAGCGGTGAGCATTTCTTGGAGGATGGAGATGTTGGCAGGGTAGGCCCGGTCGGGAGGTCCGTCGCCGTCATGGAGTCCTTTGTAGTAACCAGTGAGTATGGGATGTGTTGGAGGAAACATACCTGACACCTCTTTACTATTGACTCGTGTATTAATCATCTAGTCCGGTTCGCATGTAAATTGATCATGCAAGGAACCAAGGGAGTTTTAGGTCTAAAGTGTTGCGGGGGTCCTTATATCCAATTCAATCACAAGAATTGCTATGCACCACCAGAAAATCCTGACTTTTGCTTTTCAGCTTAATCTAAAACCAAATTACTCCCCAATAAGCTGCAGTATTACTAGCAAACAACACTGAAAAGCAAAAGTCTCATCTCGAGTTCGAAGCAAGATCAACCATCTCGAGATTGATATCACCAAGTTGATCCAAGACTATCAAGTCAAAGTGTATTGAGTTAACACCTGCAACAGAGAAGAGGTGCGCAGAATCAGCCTCTAGCTACACTATAAAGGATACCAAAAGGCTCTAACAGGAAAGAGGTGCTTGCGCGGGATTCCCATCTTCAAGCAGAAAATCAAGGTACGACGATCGTCTAACAGTTTCCGGCCGGAACTGTGTACATCTGAAGATACCAGTGAAAAGAGCACGGTGAACTGAACAGGTTACGTGCTGGAATCAAGGAAATCCGTCTGTTATCCAGTGAGTTATCTTCAATCGCGCGAAATCAGGAGTTCGATACGTCACATCACGCTCGCCCCTAGCAAGGTCCCAACAAGTATCCTTTGTGGTTTCCAAAGTACAGTTGAGTCAGCCTTATTCTACCGCTACAAGAGCTGAAAACCAGTGCTTCCACCGGTACAGCAGGTACACCTCTTCTTTGCCCGTAACAAGAGGCACCATGTCTTTCTACGGTGTCATCAGCGATGTGAGCGAGTGACCCTTATGCCCCTGGATACTCGGACCGTGGCTGGCACTACGTCTACTCTGGTCCCCAACAAGTCCAAGGTAGCTACACCTGTGCCCGCCCCACACACCACGATGGAGCTGGCAACAGCAACCTAGCCTACCGCCACCAGTATCGGGACACACAGCCACCAGTGGCCACCACCAATGAATACAAATCCGTCTTTGACATTCCTGAGAAGACACCGGCACCACATGTGTCAACAGTGTCCCCACAAGACGCATACACATCACCATTCGACATCCTTGAGAAGAGGCCGGCACTAATGGCCTATGGTAGGACCACTCACCAGCTGGGTGATGGAGAGATTACAGAGCTGTCGCCTCGACAGCTCAGGTGATCACCAGATCTCATTTATCACACCAAGCATGGAAGACATGCTGGTCCGCTTTCAACAGCAACTGGTCACCGTTGCCCGGCAAATCGACCTCATGAGAGCTGAACACAGTCCCTCTCAGACGAACCTGAGGCGCTGATCATGATCATTCAAGCAGACCATGAGAGCTGACCAACCAAACCTTCAAGACTTCATGATTCAGCGAGACAGGAGAGCCATGCCCCACGAAACCTCAAGCAAGATGGAGCTCAGTTCATCGCGTTGAAGGACCAACTGACAAATCAACTGGAAGCCTTGGTCGCGGTAGCCGCTAGGCCACCTGTCACAGTACCTACACCTGCTTTGACAACACCAGTTCATGGGGAGACCAATGCCACTTCACTGTCAGCCATGGGCAGTGCTTATGGCGTCCACAAGCCGATTGGTGACAGCGCTATTGGAACCCAACGGCTCCACAGCCCCAAGAAGCAGCAGCGCCACAGGCTACTCGTTCCAAGCAGAGCCACTGCCATCCAGCACGGATTGACTGAAGCAACCTCTTGCCACTACCAGCTCGCCACCAATGTAGCCTCGGCTCCACCCCAAGCTGAGCTTGTTGGAGATTTGCCTCGTCACACGGACCCCTTGCTGTCGCCAGCACGAGCCTAACCAGCTGGCCCAGATGCCACACCCTTGAATGCCTTCGCTGGTGCCCATCCATCGTTGGATGATGGGGAGATTAATCGAGCTTGCCAGCCCTAGAGTCATCCATCCTCTGGGGAGATCGATGATGGCAAAACCTCCGACAGCAAGCAACCAGCTTCCAGAGCTGGCGCCAAACAACATTCCATGTTGCACAACCAAATAGACCAAAGTGTGGCTCCCACTCAGTCGGCTCTACAACCAAAGAGCACATGAGCAGACTTCCAACAGTGGTGACCCCCAGGCAACCTGCTCCAAGGCACAGAGCACACAAGGGTGCCCACCCAACCAACATTTGCAGGAGACCTAGTGGTCCATCACCTATAGTGAGGCTCAAGGTTCCCAGACTTGTTCCCACAGAACCACCAACCTAGGCACAGCCAGTGCCACAAGAACTTGTGCCCAATGAGGTGACATTGTATTCGGATACTAGGCCCAGTCTAGGTCCAACCATCACCAGTCCATTTGACAGTAGGACCCACCAACCAGATACACCTCTGCTCTTGGTGGCATTCATGGGGAGCAACCACAGCAAGCACCTCAATCCAAGGCAGCCTTGGTGTCTCCTATCCCAGGAACTGACTACCATGGTACTACCCCGAAGCTAGCTACCATGGCAACAGTGCTTGGCAATGGGCCATCCCGGTGACGCCGTTGGATTTTCCTAGGGCGATCGATTC